GGACATTTTCGAGTTAAGGCATCAATTTTGCTTTGATTTTAGGAAGGTTAGTTATGACTAATAATGTAGGATCCTATTAGCTTATATTTTCTTTATAGAGTTCAGAAAATAGCAAATTTTAATTAGGATTGTATGGAGGTACTCTCTACTTTCGCATGCCCATGTTTAGAATTTACATGTTGCGGATACCTTGTGCCTAAAATTTTAAATCCGACACATCTAGCTGCTCTGGCTTGCAAGAGGATAATATATGCACTATATTTTACTGAACCTAGAATTGGCTCGTTTGGCTATTACAGCCAGTTTCAAGAGTACGTTGTGTACATACAGTGAATGTGTTATCATTAAACAATTACATTTTCTCATACAAATCATTTTGGGAGGATTATTGATTGGAAGTTAGTATTGAGTTGGGAAGTCTCGAGGGGGATTTTTGTTGGTCTTTCGTATTAATTAGCAGCATGGATCGTGTATTAAGCATTATTTCTTTTTATTTCAGATTTTTCCTTGGATCGAACAAAGTCATGCAGGTAGCACTTGGGCGGTCAGTCTCCGATGAGATTAGACCTGGTCTCCATAAGATTTCTAAGGTAGGGCATGCCGACGTACACTATATTATCTGTCAAATGTCCAGTTGATTTTTTATTAGATTCTCTTCAATTATTGTAATTGATATCATGTCTGTACAGCTCGTACGTGGAGATTCAGGCATTTGCTTTACTAATTTATTAAAGGAAGAGGTCCAAAGGTAAATTCACAGATTTAATGATGCATTTGAGATACTGAAACTCTACACCTTATAACTCTGCTTTTGTTGTGAAAGGAAAGCATTACTTCTATTAGTGAGATTGCGTTAATAGTTTGTTGTCACTTGTCATCCTTGTCCATTGTGCTATATCCAAATTATTTATGCTGATTGTGGTGACAGCTTAACATTTTGTTGTTGCAAAAAATATCTAGCCAATAATTCCAAGTCAAATGCTCGTGGTTTTTCTTCTTCCGCTTCTCTTTTACGTTGCAATTTCATTCCTTGCCTGAAAGTTACGCCTGTATCCTGTAGCACTAGCTGTTTGTGTCTGCTAGAGTATAACCTCTGGTGTTTGCTTCTTGCTCCCTCCATTTCTTCCATTTTTCTTTTGGCTCATCATTTTAAATGTTGTCAGGTTGTTTAACGAGTTTGAAGAATACGACTTTGCAAGGACTGGCAGTGCTGCAACAGAAAAGGTATTGCAAAACTTTTTTTGTTAATACAAGTTGTTTATTTACTTTTATGGCGGTGTGCGCGGGCCAGATTACTAGCACCCCGGTTAAATCACCCAGTATGTGCTATTTCCCGGTTCCCACTAGCATAGGTACCGGTTAATTTTGTCCATCAAAACTTAGACAGAACTTCTATTCCTTCTTTATCCAACCTTGTATTTAAATTTAAGAATCAGCTCACTTCCGCACATTCCATGATAAAGCCGTTCTCCTTAATTGCGGTGTAAGGTCCAGAAAAGAATAATCTTTTCTGCTTGTATACAACAAAAATACTCAAGCTTGAACTTAAGTGATGTTATTTGTTTCTGTGGAGATTTAGTGTTTCTGTTTTAGGTTTTACTGCTGCAAAAAAAGAAGCTTTTGCCACTATGTTTTGGATGGTGAATTTATTTCTGATAATTTTGAAGCAACTGCATGCTAGCTTCGTTTATATTTACCTGTTTCCAATTCTAAGTATGTTCTGACTCTTGTTGCCATATTAGCTATATGTCAACTTATTTTTTATAAATCTAATTGCCATTTTGACTACTATAATAAGGACGATTTTACTCGAGAGCTCCTTCAGAAGATGCTTTCTCTTGGCTCAGTTGATGCCTCCTGCTACCCCTGTGCTGTTTGGTCTATAATAATTAAACCATATCGATTATCATATCCATTAAAGATTTGTTCTATTAGATAATTTGGGGATATTTTTATTTGATCTGAGCATGTATCTAAGGTATCTTCAACAAGTACCTTGCCTCAAATTTATATTCCAGTTACTTACCGGGTTCTTATTTTTGGTCCTTATTTGATCTGAGCATTTACATAAGGTATCTTCACCAAGTACCTTGCCTCAATTTATATTTCAGTTACATACAGGGCTCTTAGTTTTGGTTCAATCTCTCAGGTGGAGCTACAAGAAGGCCCTCTTGATCAGTTCACTCATGAGATGGAGCCATTCCTACGAAAGCAGGGGATGCCAGTTCGATTGAACAAAGGTATTAATCTTCTGCTCCTCTGCTGTTTTTGTTGTTTGCTGATTGATGATTGTAACATAATTTTAGTGTCTAATCTGTCAATAGTTATCTGTAAAAATCTCTGATTCATCTACCTATGTCGCACGGTGAGCAGGTATTGTGGAGCTTGTATCTGACTTTGTTGTATGTGAAGAAGGGAAGCCATTGTCACCGGAGGCAGCTCGCATACTGGTTTGTATATATTTCCATCTATCAAATTTCTGAGGATAGTTCCATTCTGTCTATTTCGTGTGTCATACTGGAGGTGCCTTATAAAAGTGCAAAAAGATCAAAACAGCATATGTTGAAATTCTTGAGAAATGAAAGCAATTGCCTTGTTACTGTGCAGCGTCTGCTTGGTATCAAGATGGCTACTTTCCGGCTCAATTTAATATGCAGGTGGACTCCTGATGAATTTGAAATCTACAGAGAAGGATTGGAAGAGTCAGATATTGAATCCTCATAGACAATTCTCTCACCTCTGGGATGACACATGTTTTACAAGATTAAAGTTGCACGGTATGGGTTGATCCTTTGATACTCCTAGAACCTCTTGCCAGCTGAAGTCACAGAGGGGGTGTTTTTTACTTGGTCTCAAGATATTAATTGACCAGTCATCAATTTTGGCAATATTATAGCTTCGGTATTCAGACTTCAGTATGTGTGTGCGTGGAAGGTGTTTGAACTATTTTGACTCTTCAATGTAACGGATTTATACTTATTCAAAAGGAAAAAAAATGTAACAGATTTTATGTGAAATTTCCTACTAAAATGTTCGACTTCGAATTTGGTTCTCAACATTCGTTGATGGTTGGCCTGATGTCTGGGCTTTCTGCGAGCTCATCTGATTGGTTTAAGATCTCTCTTGGTATATCCTTTCTTTGAAGAGATGGAAAAAACATCTAAATAAGAGATTTCTTCAATCGAATAATGTCACCTTTAGACCGACTTGATGTACTAGGAATAGTTTTGACACCTTAGTGTGTATATACAAAGTACTGAAATTTTGTTACTACCAATAATCAAATGGGCGATGATGCATTTTCATCCTCTCTCGTAGTAAAAGTGAACTTTTATCTCAAGTGCATCTAAATAGAAAAATGCATCATTCTTTTTTGCCAAACCAAAAAAAAAGAGTATCAGATAAAATGGGACAGAAATTTTGAATAATGAGTTGTCTATCTTCTCGGTTTTTATTGACGACACTGATATATTGCCTCTTTTTGTTTTCTTGAGCCGAGAGTTTTTCGGAAACAACTTCCCTACCTCTCGGGGTAGGAGTAAGTTCTGCTTACATACTACCTTCCCCAGACCCCACTAATGAGATTTCACTGGGTCGTTGTTGTAAGTTTTAATCTTCTTGCAAATAGCAATGATCAGCATGAATCCAGGAAATTGGAAATCAATTTAGCCAAAGGCATTAGTTTGTGAAGTTCATTCGCAAAATAAGTTAGGACGTTGATGAAACACTCAATCTAGAGGTTTAATATGTAAAGATGATTGAAGCGCTTCAGAGTTTTGACGTCTTTGGAAATCAAGGACCAATCAGAACAAGCAGCAGCTATGTCCTCTAAAATTGGAGCACTACCTGAAAATTAACACAAATTAGGGGTGTGTTTGGTACGAACGAAAATGTTTTCCATGAAAGATGTTTTCCTAGAAAATGTTTTCATGAAAAATGAGTGGTTTTATACCTTATTTTTCATTGTTTGGTTGGTGAGTGAAAAAATTTTCCGGAAAATATTTTCTAGTATTTAGTTAGAGAGTATAAAATATTTTTTTATGCTACTCTCCTCACTCACCCCTTTCCCCCAAGTCCCCATGTTTCATGTGTTCTCCTCCCCTCCTCTCCCCTCCTCTCCTTTCAAATACCCAACGTTTTCAGAACTCTATTTTTTTTCAAGAATTTAGTTATTCTTTAAAAATTCACACAAACCTAAAAGAACTAATGAGATGCATTACTTTTTTATGCAAAAATAACGTTGAAATTTGTGTTCCATAACAAAAAAGAATACTCTTTTTTTGGTTAAAAAAGAAAGTACTTTTTCTACAACATGAAAATAAAGTACTTATTTTGTTGAAATGAAAGAAAATATTTTTTCTACATCTGAAAAGAAAATACTCATTTTGTTGAAATGAAAAAATATATTTTTTCTACATAATGAAAAGAAAATACTTTTTACTACATCATTTTGTTGAAATGAAAGAAAATATATTTTTTACATTATGAAAAGAAAGTACTTTTTTTGTTAAAATGAAAAAAAATTACTTTTTTTATATAATGAAAAGAAAAATACTCATTTGTTGAAATGAAAAAAAAAATTACTCTATCCATAACATAAAAAAAAAGTACCGTTAATAATATTTCTATTTATGATGGGGTTTGGGGGCGAGGGTAGGGTAGGGGGTTGGGGCG